CAATTTGTTAAAGAGTGACCTAATGAACTGAGAGTGTTAGTTGCATTAGTTGAAATGGCCTCTCCTCTCTGACCCCGCTCTCTGGAGAGTGCAGTATTGCCCATCCTTTCTGGCAGTGTCCCCAACTACAAGGAAGAGAGCTCAGCCTCCCTGGCCTGCTGGGACTCCAGGGTGGATTCCAGGACTCCGGCTCCCACACCAGTAACGTGAAGAGTTACAAAGCTCATTACACATCAAGTTCTGACTCAGAGATCATTTCTAGGCCTAGGTGAGGGGGTCAGTGGCCCGGTGGGGGTGGCTGGGGTGGGGTGGGGAGGAAGAGGAGGAGGGAGAAGAGGTGAAGGTGAGGGCGCCCCCTTTTGTCCGACTCTGGTCCATGCAGGGTCTCAGCCTTCTGCTCATTACCCTCATTCTCTGACCAGCTGCCTGGTTAGGGGCATCAGGGCCTCCTTTGGCTCTCTGACTCCTGTCTGGTCCTGGGAAGATGGAAGGGGTGTGTGTTGGTTCACCCTAGTTGCATGAAGAGGATGCTTGCCAGCAGGCTAAAACCCAGAAGCCCATCCTGTGACAGCCCCTCCAGGTGGCCCACATGCAGGGTCGGGGGTACCCGGCTTCTCCCACTGCTCTCTCCTGGGATCGGGTTCCAGGCTGTTCTGAGGGTCACCATGTAGACAATCACAGACCTCCTGAAGGGCGGGGCAGCTCCAGGGAGATGTTCAGAGGCTGAAGTCCTCAAGCAGCAGACTTGAAGGTGAAATGCAGTGTTGCAATGTCAAGTGAATTTTGAATTTGAATTTCTAGGAGCTTTTGTCCCTGAATGGTGATGGCCTCATGATAGGAAGCTGAACCTCCAAGAAGTGGTCCTTCCACATCCCAAATCAATCTCCTGATCCCAAATCCTCATCTTGGTGCTCTATCAGTGAATATCTAGCCATTTGGTGACGTCATGGAGGGTTTGGCCAGCCCAAGTTGGCTCTTTGGGGATCCTCGACCAGGGAGATGAAATGATGTACTGAAAGCCTTGTTGTATTTATCAGCAGAACACTAATGCTGAGGTGCAGCTTTGCCTCAAGGTAGCTCTCTGGGCTAAGCTCAGGGACTCAGTCTTTCCCTCTGTAACAAGAGGCAATGACTATAATTCTCTCTCTGTCAGCATTCCTGGTCTGGGAGAGTCTGGCGAACAGGGATCAAGACCATTCTTCTGCTTCCTGGTCCCTGCCCAACTCCTGGCCCAGGGTGAGTGCTGACCGGATGAAGGATTACTGCTATGGAGAGGAGTGCAGAAGCTGACCTCTGGGGGAGTTTGTCGGTGCTCCAGCACTCTGCAGACTAGAGGGACTTGTTCCTGCCTTGGTCTGCGGCTCTCTCAGGGTCCTTCTATTCTGAGCATCTGAAAGTCAGACAGATCTGCCTTTCTCCTGTGCCTGTTCCCTACCCCCGTCCCCTGCTTTCTCTTCTCCATCAGGCTGGTGTTCTTCCATGTCTCCATAATGGAGTTTTAGCCCTGTCTTGTCCCATCCCATCCGTCACTCCAGGCTCTGCCCCCGTGCCCATGGTAACAGGGATGGCAGCACCCTACCCATAGTGCCCCTGCCCCCACCACATCAGCTCCCTTCTGGACTCAGAGTGGGCCTTCAGGGCGGGTCCCCTCCTAACGGCCTCCGGCCCAGCCTCTGTCTGATGACTACTGACCCTGTGACCTCCCAGCTGACAGTCCTTCAGAGGAGCGGCATTCTTTTCTTTGGTGACAGTGAATATTTACTTGGCGCCTACTGTGCCCAGTGTAGAGTCCTGACTCCTGGGCCAGTGTACCAGGTCTTTGGTGATCTGGCTCTGCCCTATGCCCCCGCCCCTCCTCAGGCTCTGGGCACAAGATCTGTTCACAGGTCCCCAAGGTGCCATGCACTGTCACATCCCCATGCCCGCGCATTCCTTCTCCACCCACCTCCGGTGATGCTCTGACTTCTCCCCGCTTGCTCCACCAGCCCTCTTGGCTTCATTAACTCATCTTCTAAGATCAGTTCTGCTATCACCTCCCCCAAGAACTCTTCCCTGTGTCTCCAGGCTCTGTGCCACCTGGTGGTGCCCTTACCACCCTGCGGTCTAAGTATGTGGCCCAGCAGTTCCTCCACCCCTCTGTGAGCACGCGAGGCAAGGCCACATCTCCTGTCTCATCATTTTTCTAATGCCCTGCACACAGAGGAGTCTCAGAACAGGCGTTTTGAATACACAACTGTTTTCCTGGGCTCCCGTTTATAAGCTTTCTCTTTTATTTTAACTTGTACGTTCTGCAGCAGGGATAGGCCTAATGAAGAATAATAACAGCCATAGGTTATTTATTTATTTCAGGCATGGAATTGTATACTTATTTATTTTACTTTTGTTTTTGGCTCTGCTGGATCTTTGTTGCAGCATGTGGACTTTCTCTAGCTGCTGGGAGTGGGGGCTTCTCTCTAGTTGTGAGGCATGGGCTTCTTACTGTGGTGGCTTCTCTCGTTGTGGGCCGTGGGCTCTAGGGCACACAGGCTTCAGTAATTGTGGTGCATGGGCTTAGTTGTTCTGTGGCATTTGGAATCTTCCTAGACCAGGGACTGAACCCATGCCTCATGCACTGGAAGGCAGATTTTTTTTTTTTTGCCACTTTATTTATTTTTTAAATCGAAAGATATAATTGCTTTACAGAATTTTGTGGTTTTCTGTCAAACATCAGCAAGAATCAGGAAGGTGTATTCTTAACCACTGGATCATCAGGGAAACTCCAGACAGTTTATTAACTGCTTACTATTTGTCAATTATCTGCTGAATTCTTAGCATCCATATCTCATTAAATCCTTATTACTAGAGGTAGATACTATGAAGCATTATTATTTCCATTTAACAGATAGTGAAACTGAGGCTCAGAGAGGTTAATTGCTAATGCCTGCACTTGAACCCCTGTGTCTAATTTCAATGCTTGGACACTGACCTCTGGGCTACCTGGCCAACACCCACCCCAGGATTAGCCTACCCAACCCAACCCCTGGGGAGGAGGCTCAGGTGCCCTGGCCCCTTAGTTGAGGCTTAGCCTTTGTGGGGTTCTGTGGTTGCTGCCCCTCTGTACGATATACCTCCTGCACTGAACAGTAGAGGGAAGGCTTGTCACCCCAGTCCAAGGCTGGAAGCAGCCTATTTATAGCCCTGGAGGGAGGTGGGGGGAGCTGGGAAGAGAGGGTGGTCCAAGCCCCCTTCCCACTGCTTTTCTGAGGGTTTGGGTGGATGGGGAGTTTTGAGGACCCATAGGAGACTCCATTCATTTTAGCTCTGAGTCCCAGGTGGAGCTAAATAACAGGAAAACTCTGACGAAGGGGGCACATGAGACCAAGGCAGCTGAGGCTCCGACAGCCCAGCTGCGTGCCAGCACTGAGATCAAGTCACTTACTGGGACACCCTGGTGGGAGCGACTTCAAAACCTGCACAAGCTGGCCACGCAGCCAATCACCACCCCACAGGGGCCAGCAGGGATAAATGGGAAGGAAAAAACACTTCGTAGTCTGCCCGGGCCCTGGAACTTACACATCTGGGGAAGCACGTTCTAGAGTTAACGACACAGGCTTTCTTCTGCCCCACTTCCGGGAAGGAGGACTGCCCAGGCAAGGATGGGCTGTAGACAGCTGTCCAGCCTGCTCAGCCATGTCCCTCAAGGCTGCCCAGTTGGGCCTGTGGCTTCTGATAGCCTGAGAAATTGCCATGGAGGGTAGGGTTTGATCCCAAGAGACAGGAACCAGAGTTTCTCAGAAACCTCTCCTGGAGGGAGAGTTTGCCCCAGAGGTTGTTATACTATTCACAACATTCTGTCCTGGGGCTTCATTTGTTGTTGTTGCTGTTTTTCAGCTGCTCAGTCAAATCCGACTCTTTGTGACCCCAAGGACTGCAGCACACCAGGCTTCCTTGTCCTTCACTGTCTCCCGGAGTTTGCTCAAACTCATGTTCATTGAGCTGGTGATGCCATCCAACCATCTCATCCTCTATCGCCCCCTTCTCCTCCCACTTCATTAGAATACTTGAAAATGGTCTAGAACAGGTAGCTGGGGATCTTGATAAAATACAGACTCTGATGCATAGGACTGTGTGGTGCTCAAGATTCTGCATTTCTTACAAGCTCCCAGGTAATGCTGCAGGTCTGGGACAGTGGTGCTCCATGATTTACTGGCTGGAACTCCTTATTTAACTCTCCAAGGCTCCTTCCCTCTTCTGCAAAATGGGGAAGAGAACAGCTACCTACAGGGCCACAGAGGGGATTAATGAGATCTGGCTGTCAAGTCCCTAATAAGTGGGGGAAGATGCATAGGAAAGCACCTGGCACCTGGCAGGTGATCAACACATACATCTTCTTTTCCTTGGTTCAAAATTGTTGTTGTTCAGTCACTCAGTTGTGTCTCTTTGTGACCCCATGGACACCAGGCTTCCCTGTCCATTACCAACTCCTGAGCTTGCTCAAACTCAAGTCATAGAGTTGGTGATGCCATCCAGCCATCTCATCCTCTGTCATCCCCTTCTCCTCTTGCCTTTAATCTTTCCCAGCATCAGGGTCTTTTCTAACAAGTTGGCTCTTCGCATCAGGTGACCAAAGTATTGGAGTTTCATCTTCAGCATCAGTCCTTCCAATGAATGCTCAGGACTGATTTCCTTTAGGATGGACTGGTTGGATCACCTTTCAGTCCAAGGGACTCTCAAGAGTCTTCTCCAACACCACAGTTCAAAAGCATAAATTCTTTGGTGCTCAGCCTTCTTTATGGTCCAACTCTCACATCCATACATGACCACTGTTACACTTTTTTATCTGAGCCCACAAAATAAGAGCAGCAGATACCGTTCATCCCATTTCATAGATGAAGACTCACTAACGCAGCAAGTTAGTGGCTGACGTGGACTAGAACCTGGGATTCCTGTCCCAAGTTCAGTGTTCTTCCCACCATCACACATTCCTTCGCAGTCAGATCAGAGATGTATGTGTCCACCAGATGAGAAGCATGTTGATATGGATCGTGAAAATGGTGAAAATCCTAACAATACGGCAGAAATCTGTGTGGGGCTCTTGCTGGGCAGGCAGCCATGACTGGCCTTCTGGAGTCCTAGGAGAGAGCTCAGAACTTGGAAGACAGTGTTCCCATTACATGGCTCCCCTCTGGGTCTGCCTGCACATTGATCTCAACAAGCATTTCAGGAAAGAACAAATGCTTGGATTGCTTTCCCCCATGGGCAAGACAGCAGCGAGTGCATCAGAGATGAAAGGTAGCAGTCCTGCCGTCTCCTTGGAGATGCAGGGGTCATCTCTCAGTAACCCCGGCTAGCAGAGGCATCTGTGTAGTCAGGGCTTGGAGCAGAGAGCAGATGTGGCCAAGACCCACATCTGGATGCCACATCTCTGTGGAGGGGGAACAGCTCAATGCATTCTTCCCTTCCTTGCAGCCCGCCCCTCCCTGTATCAGCCCTGCCTCTTATTGCCCGGCTCCCTGCGCTGGATGCGACCAAGGAAAAACTGGCCAGGACTCCTGGAGCCTCCTTTACATCATTTCATTCATCTTACCAGGGCAGCCCCATTGCATGGCTGTTAGTTCCCTGAGTTAGGAAAGCCAACAGAGGCCTGGGAAGCCAGCAAAGGGCACATTTGGTTCCTGGTCCGTGGATGTGGTCTGGGGATTGCTTGGGGGTTGAGCCCTGTTTAAGTCAAGGCCTCTGATCCCCATTTGAGTTCCTTGTCATGAGGGAATGCAGATGGCATTCCTGGACTTAGCATTTCCATTCCAGCCACTTCTGAGTGTCCCCAGAGGCCCTCCACATGTAACCCTTTGTCATCTTGCTGAGGCAGGAGGGCATCCCATGTGCAGTGAGGATGCTGAGCGGTGGCCAGCTCCCAGGTCAGTAGGGAACCAGGCTTGGGCCCTGCTTTGCCTCTCCGTCTGGGGTGGCCTTTCTGGGTGAATTTTCGCAGCTTCCCCGAGAGGTTGATGCTGTCCTTGCTTTTCAGATGAGGACATAGAAGCACCCCGTGGCACTGTGCACCTGGAAATATGGAGATGCAAGAAGCTCTAGGGTTCGTACTCCTCGAGAGTGTCGAAGTCTCTGGACCTCATTGATAGGGAATTCCGAGAATTGTGGGAAAGGAACGAGGAAGACTGGATCTGATGTCAAGTCAGTGGGATTGGTGGGATTTCTAAAAGAAATATCTAGCCTTGCTCTTTCTGGTCATGAAGTCCAGGGAAGCGATATCACAGCATCACTGAGCCCTTTCCAGCAAGTCAAGGGCTTGTTACCATCGGACTTCTTGAATATTCCATCAGACATCTTGAATATTCCATCAGACTTCTTTAATATTCCACTAGAAGGGCATTGCTTCTGCTGGGCAGCAGGTGCCCCTGCCACCCTAGATTACCAGCATCCCAGTTTTTGGCCCCTTCCCTGGTTTGTTCCAGCACCACCTGGAGAACGCTGGTTCTCCAGGTCCCATTATCAACAGAGCCATCACCGGGCATGCACTTTATAGTTATAAAGCATAGTCTCACTGGATCCTCGTGACACCATGGCAGAGTAGGACAGGAGTCAAGAAAACTGAAGGGCAGAGGCTAGGCATTCTGCCTAAGTCACAAGAAAGTGGGGACACCAGCCAAAGTTTTCCAATTTTGCATGACAACCTGCAGCTTCTCTAAACAGTCAACCTGCATATTCCATACTCATGGACATGATCTCATTTTAATTTCAGACCAACCCTTCAAAATGAACTAAAGTAGGTAATATTGTCCCCATTTTTACAGCTAGAGAATATGACATGCTTAATCTGTACCCAGATGTTTCTCTTGGGGGAGGCAGGGAGGGCAGATTTGAGGTCAGCAATTGCAGGAGAGACTTCAGAAGCTGTGAAGTCCAGTCAGACTTAGGTACCTTACTTAGAAACATTCTTCTTATAGCAATCTTACCACTTTCACAGAATGTTGTTAATTTAATTAATTATCCTTATTAATAGACTTTGGAGGGCTTCCTAGGGCACCACAAAGATCTAGACAAGATGCGGTAGGGAGCAGTTAAGTTCTGGAAAATTGCCATGCCCCCATCTCTCCTCCCCAACAATTAAGGTACCTATTCACAGCTTGGGCATCTTCTCCTGCCTCCCTGGAAACAGCACCGGAGCCAATGAATGCATTTGGCCCTTGTCTTTGACCTGAAGGGGGAGGGTCTCATGTGTAGCGTGGATTAGGCAGCCTGTGGGCTTTATGTGCCCCTGTGCCTAAGAAAGAGTGTGGCTATCACATTTCCTACACAAATAGACGTTTCCGTGCATGTGCCTGATGCTGCGTGTGTGGTCACATGTGACCCTGTGACCAGTGGACCTGGCCCCCAAGCTGGGCTCCTGCTCAGAAAGCACACAGCCATCTCCTTCAGCCTCCATCTTTCTTATCCTCGCAACCCACTGTTTTGGTGAGCTGTCAAATGCAAACACAGGCTCCACAGCATCTCCTTTATAGGAAGGCCAGGACAGGCAGGTAATTTATCAAACATTCCTTAAAATAGTCCTCCAGCCTCTTGTTCCCGCTCTCTCATTGCTGTCTGATTCTTGATTGTTTCTTCTCCTTTCTGTCTCTTGTTTTTCTGCCTGGAGATTGACAGCCCCCTGCTAACACAGCCTTGGAGATGCCAGGTGCTGGTGTAACCGACACCTCACTCTGCCTCAGCCTCCAACCTCCATCCCAGGACTAACTGCTCCGCGGCTGACTGAGGTGGCACCACACGCCTGTGCGCCAGCACGGCGGGCTGATGGATGAACCCGCGTCCCCCACACTGCAGAATGTTCAGGAACCAGGGGCACTTACCCTGTGATCTGCTGAGTTATGGACCAGCTAATGAGACTCCTTCTGACACCAGCCAGCCCACGACTGCCCTCATTTTGCCCTGTTCCCAATTCTCTAGCCTTTTAAGCAGCCTGTGTCTTGTGACCTTATGTACTAGTCTGCTGTCCCCTTAAGAGGTTTCAGGAGAATGAGATGAATTAGCATTCTCTGTCATCTCCACTTTCAAAATGAAGCAACCAAAGCTAGCCAAGGGAAAGAGCTTGGGAACTAACATTGTGTAAGTATCTGCTGTTTGCCAAGTACTATGCTAGGTGCTTGAAATTTTGTTGTCTCATTGAATGCCGGGTAACAGACACTATCTCTATTTAAAGATAACGGAGAACAAGAGAAAACAGACTCGGAGAAGGTAAGGAGCCTGCCCAAGGTCAGCTTTTCAGTCAGAGTTCATGACTGTAACCAACAAAACCTGATCCTAGCCAACTCAAACAGAAGAGGAGATTTTGGGTGAGCTACTGATATCTTGGGTTTCCCTGGTGACTCAGTGGTAAAGAATCCACCTGCCAATGCAGGAGACACAGGTTCAATCCCTAGGTTGAAAGATCCCCTGAAGAAGGAAAAGGAAACCCACTCCAGTATTTTGGCCTGGGAAATCCCATTGACAGGGGAGCCTGGCGGGCTACAGTCCAAGGGGTCGCAAAACAGTCAGACATGACTCAACGACTAAACAACAGCAATTCACTAGCTCACAGAAGGTATGTGAAGTTTAGAACACATGTATGAATCAAGACGGCAGAGTGTGGATCAGGAACACATCAGGAGGAGTCTGGAGTTAGGAGTTAGGAGACCACACTTTACACTGGGTGATGCCAGTTTGGCCACTACCACCAAAATGCATTTCAAATTCTTCCTGTGCTTTTACATCCCTATCTTAAAACCTGAATTCCAAAGTGGTATAATCTGAGGGTTGGTAGGCCATGTATCTACACCCTTGCTCCTGACTCATACCGAGAATTACTTGATGGATTCCCCAATACAGAAAGGAGGTTCCAACACTGGGGGCCAATAATCAGTGAACTGGCAAACCAAACCAATGTTCCCAATCATCACACAGCTGGCGAGAGTGTGAGCAAGTCCAAAGGCAGGTATTTCCAGCTCTAAATCACATGCTGTTTCTGCCACCACCTGGGGTGAAGTTTGAAATGTTAACAACTGAAAGGCTGCTGACTCTGGCCAATCAGAATTCAATTCAGTTCAGTCGCTCAGTCATGTCAACTCTTTGTGACCCCATGGACTGCAGCATTCCATGCCTCCCTGTCCATCACCAACTCCCAGAGCTTGCTCAAACTCATTAAGTTGGTGATGCCTTCCAACTATCTCATCCTTTGTCGTCCCCTTCTCCTCCAGCCTTCAATCTTTTCCAGCATCAGGGTCTTTTCCAGTGAGTCAGTTCTTTGCATCAGGTGCCCAAAGTCAGCTTCAACATCAGTCCTCCCAATGAACACCCAGGACAGATATCCTTTAGGATTGACTGGTTTGACTTCCTTGCAATAAGGGACTCTCAAGAATCTTTCCAACTTCACGGTTCAATTCTTCGGCACTCAGCTTTCTTTATAGTCCAACTCACATCCATATATGACTACTGGAAAAACCATAGCTTTTACTAGACAGACCTTTGTTGGTAAAGTAATATCTATGCTTTTTAATATGCTGTCCAGGTTAGTCATAGTTTTTCTTCCAAAAGCAAGTGTCTTTTAATTTCATGGTTGCAGTCACCATCTGCAGTGATTTTGGAACCCAAGAAAAGAAAGTCTGTCACTGTTTCCTTTGTTTCCCCATCTATTTGCCATGAAGGACTGGCATCTGGCCCATCAGAATAGATGCCTCTATATACCAAGAAAGCAAAGTTAGAACTCAGGGTTCTTAGCTGCTCAGGCCAGATAACCTTACATTTAGGACCAGGCTTCCCAAACTTTCCATAGAAAATGATAATACTTGATGGCTCACTGGGATAAACTGGGATAAATGTGGGAGAGGGAGAGAGATCAAGATAGACATATAAAAAGATATAGGGTTTGGAGGAGAAAAGCCCATTATACTTTGTTTACATATTATCGTTATGATAAAAATAAAATAAAATGCCCCTCTACTCTAGGCTTTTGTATGCAGCTGCCTCCTTAACATTTCCACTTAGATGTATAATAGATACCTCAGAAATAGCATATCTATATCTGAACACCTGGTCTCCCCACCATTACCAGCAACTTCCTCTATCTACATGTGTACATGCTTAGTCACTTCAGTCATGTCCAACTCTTTATGTCCCTATGGACTGTAGCCCACCAGCCTCTTCTGTCCATGGGATTCTCCAGGCAAGAATAGTGGAGTGGGTTGTTATGCCCTCCTCCAGGGGATCTTCCTGACCCAGGGATTAAACTGGGATCTCTTATGTCTCCTACATTGTCAGGCAGATTCTTTACCACTAGCAGCTCCTGTCTCTCCCAACTCCA